TTGATCCCGATACAGATCTCCAACAATTTTAGGCGATCAACCAGCGGGCTGAATGACGTGGCGTCTGCTCTGTCACTCTCCCACTTCCAACCAACTTCCGAACACGCCTCCCTGCTCATCACCGCACTCCCCGCATTCTCCCACCACCGAACATGTCTACCCACGCATCTGAGAGCGCCCTTCTGAAGGTCTGCCATGCCGTTACCGAGATCCACTACGCGATGCCACACCGCCCCGACCCAACCACCACACCAGCGGAGAAAATCAAGGAGTGGGAGGACAACTTTTACAAGACCCTCAACATCGTCTACGACTACCAGGACGAGTTCAAATCCAATGTTTGGCCGCGCTACACCCTTGGCGCCTTTTATGAGTTCGAAAAGGCCCGACGCATCAAAGGATACAGGGCCTCGCCATTCAAGGTGGTCCGCATTGCCGACACCGAGGAAGCCAATCGTGCCGGCTATGGCTTCGACTTGGAGATGGTCGGTAATGACCGCGGTGAGATCCACCTCGTTCGGAAGAGGACGTCAATCAGTGGTACTACCGCAGTGAGTATCCTGTTCTTGGCTGCATTGTTATACTCTCTCATTACCGCTTGTGCAGGGGCACATCTAGAAGGCGGCCACAACAAACCACGAACATGCCACCGGCGACGGTATGTTATTCCGGTAACGTTTTGACGCCTATGTCGCTGATCCTGAACACCGATGTATAGGTTCTGACAAGTCGCCCGCTTTTGGTGCGACGACTGCCGGCACCACCCAGACTACCGGCGGTGCGAACACCGGTACTGTGAAGACTTCCGGCATTGCGAGGACTGCCGGTACGTCTAAGACTTCCGGCAGCGCGAAGACCGCTAGCACTCCGAAGAAGGCTGGCACCATCACCGTGCCCCCGGTGGTGAAAGGCACTGCGAAGGCTGAGTACGTTCCTATTGCGTCCTACCTCTTCTTTTGCGATATCATCTTGACGTTTCTTTACAATCACGCTGACAATGTATATACAGCAACGGCCGTCAGGCCACCAAACGTGACAAGGGAAAGGGTCGCGCAACTGTGGAGGCGACCACCGACGTAGACGACGACAATTCCGATGAGGACGTCAGTGAGAAAGGTGAAGGGGAGCCTTTGAAAGGTGCAGTGGTCGTCGGTTTTCATAGCCACACCTATTTTCTAACCTTCGCTCAGAGGTACGAAAGACACGCTCGGCCGCCAAGAAGGCGGTGTCTTTCGTCACCCCCACCACGCCACCCGTGTCCAAGAGAAGGCGGGCCTCATCGGTGGCCCCGGAGCCGCCCAAGAAGACGGCGTTGACGCCGAAGAAGAGGGCGAGGAGTCGTGACCCGAAGCGGACTGCTGGGACGACTACCGATGATGGCGAGAAGAGGGTGTCCGGCAGTGGTGGGGACAAGACCCCCAAGAAGGCAGTCAGGCGAGTAAATCGACCCGCTCACCCTGACCATGTCGCCCCCGAGAAGAACTTCGAGCCATTCCCCAACCGCAAAGGCCGCATCCCGATTTACGTGATTCAAAAGAACGGGGTAAGTGTACGAGATGCTTCGTCTCATACACAACTATGCTTACCATGTACACACCAGCCCAATGCGCACCTCCGGTGTGAGCGGTGCAAGACCGGTGGTACCGACTGCCGGATATTCATCTTCGATGGGTCATACTGCCATGGGTGCCGCGTCAAGAAAGCGGCCTGTGACCTCTCGCCCATCGGGCACGGTAAACTTGGTGCCGCGTCATACCGCTCATACCGGGCCTTCGTGCAGTTGGCAAACCCGGCGATGTATCCTGACCCGGTAATGCTCTCCCGTCTCTTGTTAGGTCTCCAGGACTCGGGGCTCGTCGACTGGTACTTCGACTGGTACTGGACTTCTACGAGCTACCAGAGGCGACGCGGCAGATGATGATCAGCGACCCGAAGTACCACCTCGATTTGCACGTGGAGGAATGGAAGACCCCGATTCAGAGGGTCGCTGGTGACGAGGAGGTGAATCCGGTACGCACAATCTTGGTATTCGTTGTAACATCTGCTTATCCTCGCTCAGGATTCCGAGGACTACCCAAAACCTCGCAGGACAAGAAGGTCCGGCAGGGCTGTAAAGCCGGATGTTACCGGTGAGTACCGGGCGCCATCGCCTTCGGCAGTCGGCAGTCGGTAGTCAGCGGTCGGTAGTTGGTGCTTATGCCAATTTTCTTTTTAGCGGCGCGTCAACAAGGCAACGAGAGCGACGAAGACGATGCAAGCAACAACGACAACGACAATAGCGACGACGAAGACGGTGAGTTAGTCGTCGGATCGCACACATTGAATACCGGGATCGCGGTTATCTACACACAGATAGCTCGGTACTAACACATCCGCCATAGGTCACCGTAACTCTTCGGAGCCACCGGCCAAGAAGAGGCGCATAAGTGGACGGGCTAAGTCACTTCTCCAAACGCAGCCCCGGATCCGTCCACCTTCGCCGGCATTGGACCCCCGGAACCTGCCGCCTCCCCCTCCTGGTATGTCCTGATACTCGCAACCTGGCGTCGGCTTATAGCGCGCCAGGTTTCAACTTCCTAAACATTCCGTTGACGACTCGCATTCCAGTCGATCCTATGCACGATTTCCGCCCAGACCCCCACGCACCTCTTCCCGACATTCACGCGACCATGCGAGCGATGCAACAGCAGATGGGTGAGATGGCGCAACAAATTGCAACCCTCAATGCCGCCGTCTTCAATGGTACATTCTACTTTCTATTCATATCTGCATGCCAACTAAATCATTTCGCAGCTCAAAACCAGACTGGATTCCAAGGCGGCCCTTCGTCTGGCCCCCAATACCGAGCAGTACGTCCGGTATTCATGTCCACCCGGCAATAACTAATAAGCCTCCGGCAGTGAACCCGTACCATCGTACAATGCTCAGTTCCCTGGTCACGGAGGTGACGCTTACGGTAATAACGCGGGCCAGGGTTACTACAACCCACAAGCTCCGATCGCCGGCCCTTCAGGGCACAGTCACCACTACATCCCCCATGAGGTGTTGCAGTCCGCTTCCCCTGCCGGTATGTGACCTTGTCTAACTTCACTCATTACCCACTTGCGCTAATACTTCATAGATCCTTTGCAGCGCGTCGATCCTCCGTTGAACATGGACTGGTCTCGGATTCCAATGCCGATCGGGGTTGCAAATGCCGAGTCCACTGCCAGGGGAAGCGGAAGCGTCGGGAACAACACCCTCGGGTCGTTACCGCAGACGGTAGTGTCCCCGGTAGTGATGGGCCACTCCCGCTGCCAATGTGGCACTCTACGCCGATTGACATATTGGCTGCGCCCAACAGCGTCACGAAGTCAGCCCTCCCGGTATTGCCTCCTACGACCGACGCATCTGCCCCAACCACTGCCGAGCCACAGCTCACGGCACCCGTCACCGACTCCACCCCTGATGCCACTCAGCGCACCGTCTCCCCCTCCCCTCGTACTCCTGCCGCCACTATTGCTGTCCATATCAGTACCGCAGGCACGCCCTCCGCTCTTCAGGGGGACGAGGAGATGGACGATTCGATCGACGGAACGGCAATGGTTGGTAATACCGACGGCGACAAGGCTCAGGATCGCGATGGCACAACAACGCAAGCCGCTGACGCCTCCACTGCTGATGATGCCCAGGCCGCCGCCTCTAAGGATGGCAACGACGTTGTCGACGGCCCAGAGGACACAGACCCTGACGCGGAAGGCGACCCCGACACCGACACCAGCCGGGAACAGCGCGAGGAGGCGGGGTCCATTGGCAAAGGGTTCGATACAAGTGGCGATGCCGATAGCTCGGTACTGGCCGGTAATGACTCGGAAATGGGCAAGGTGAACTTACCCAACGGCACCGCAGAGGGACAGGACATGGACACATCTGAATGAGTACAAATGTAGATTACCCCCTCGGCCTCCTATTGTACGATGCCCTGCTTGTTTGCGTAGTTACGTCGTTTATTTTGCTCTTTGTGCGATATTTTACTCTGTATTAATTCACAGTCTCTCTGTTGCGCGTCGCCAAGGGCCAGATACGCCAATCCGAACGGCGCAATCACTGATCTCAAAATTTGGACATAGCTGATGATACGACGACCGTCACTCCGCGGTCATGACGAACTTGATTTCCGATCTAATTTCTGAATATCATGGTTCTGGTTATGAAGTCCGCTCTCGGCAACCATCGGTATACGAGGCACAGTCCTGGGAAACTATGCAGTGGGGAGCCCGGCCAAGAAAAGCGCAACAATCAGTATTTCTCGGTATACGACGAACAGCCCAGGGGAGGTATACCGGGACGAGCGGTGATCATTCACACACAGTAGGTAATGACTCTACCGGCCATCCGGTGATAGATTCTCAAGCCCGACAGCAGCTGGTACACGTTGCGCGATTGGTCTGCACCGTTCCGCTCGGCTCGGCCATTCAGACCGTGCCTGTATGTACCATCTTTGGCAGCCGCGCGGAGACGCCGCACCCGAAACTACACCTGCCATGGGCGCTACTACATGACTTGCGTCGAACATGTGAATTCATGCACTCTGCCAATACGAACAGCTGTTTAAAAGACCTTATTACAAATTAGAGAGCCTTTGAATCAGCCTGGCAAAATATGGCGGATTTAACGGCTGTTGATCACCCTGTATGTGATATGTCATAGAGAAATGACATATCTATCACCATAGACTAGGACATTCGTACGTACAGGCACAATGGCGGGTTAGCACCAAAACTATTTGTTCCAACTGTATGAAACGAAAAATCCACTGCTTACACCCTCCAATACATGCCACACGAACATTCTTATTTTGCTATCCTGAACATACACACCACAGCTTTCACAACATATCCACGCATTCCCGTGCCTGGAACACTAATTGGATATGTTACGAATGTCTACAGAAGCTTTGACTAGGAAGTTGGGACGGACCCCTGAAGAAATGCGTGTTATATTGTGTTTGTTTTTATTTCACAACATACTCAATAGCAATGGACCTAATCATTAATACATGGCAATAACAGCTAGGCCATTATCTACCAGTTCGCATCTACAATTTGCAGCAAGAATGGTGTTAAACGGATGAGAAATGGGGTGGATATAACACTAGTACCCAAGAAGAGCCAAGAGATGAAGTCGTCTGGTTTGCTATGCACTTCCCTTCCACAGATACAACAAAAACCCATATCTCAGCTCTCAATGGTCCAATAACCGAGGTTTTTGCTGCAATGGTACACTGTGGTAGACGGCATACAATATCTTGAGTTGTATAGTCCACTTTGTATTGAGCCACTGAGGTATACCATATGTCAGAGGGTTTGAACATATGTTATTACACAAACCGTGTGACGTTTGGGATCCCAGATTGGTTCAGCCGGTGATTCCGAAATGTTAGGGGTATCGACACATACAAATCTACACCATCGCTGATACACCTATATCGTTGTTACCTTTCAGCATAACACACACCCGATACAGCACCTGTGTGAGCAGTTTGTGGGATGTAAAAACAATCTGTGGCACACAAAAGTGTGTATGACGGTAACACCGAACTTTTGTGTATGACGTCGTTCGGCAGTTGGTTGCTACAGTTTTGAAAACACTCCAGTGAGCGGCATATACATCGCCTCTGCGCTCGTGTTGTATGCGTTGAACAGTCGGGAGGGTACAATGCTCTGAGTGTTGGCACGAACTACAGAGACATGCATTACCGGTGATACCGGTCAATACCGATCTCTTCCATGCAGTACCGATGCGACTGCCGGCATGGAACACCGGTGTACGCTCGCATTTCCGAAGGCCAAATTCATAATCGGTGTTCGTGCAAAGGTTGATCTGATTAGAATTGCGACGACCGGCATTCGGCGACAGCACAGATAGAAGACGTCAGATGAAGGCCACGTCCTATCATAACATCAGTTGAGGCTCAGAACATGTCCACTCTCAGATCTCATCCGTGCAATCATGTCCCTCACCAACAACAGTAGACCGGGTAGTGAGCTTCATATTCTCATTCTCCACACCATGCAAGATGCGTTGGCCGCGCGTTTGCGTTACAACGCCAGCGACAAGATCTACCCTTTCTGCGAGATATCCTGTCCCATTCGGCTGGAACACCGACTATTTTCTGCTGTTGTTCGAGCTGCCGATCGCATTTCCGCAGCGTGCAGCTGCCAATGTGAGGAACCTCAATTTCTCATTCAGTGGACACTGGCTGAAGTTGGGCCAGACAATGTGGACTGGAAACTAGAGGACTACATGGATAAGACTCCGAAGACCCGCGGTGTGGTCACTGAGCAGCAAAAAGAGCGGCTCAACAAAGCGTTTCCGGTAGAGCCCATGGACAAGTCCGGCATTCCTCCGGCTATCAAAGTCCCAGCTACCATCACCGATTCAGTGGGTGTCATTCTCGCATGGGTTCTTCCCGACCTCCTCCTGGAGGACATGCAGGTATGGAACATTGGGAGATACCTTGTCCATTGCTGAGTGACATTTAATGCAGACAAAGTTATGGCAGTCAACTGACAGCCTTGCTCCAATTCTTGACAAGCCATCACCGAACACTGATTCATGGCGACTCTGGAAGGAGAACTTCAAGAACGACAACCACTCTCTCTCTGGTCTTCTCAGTATGGCACCTCAGATGGTTCCTCAGGGAGTACATGTTATTATATACGTGGTTGAAAATACTAAGAATATTCTGCAGGGACGAAACGGGCCACAGCCCTCAAAGGGCTTCGCTGAGCGTGAAGTTCAAGAATGGCTGGAATGTATTACCGAAGTGGGCGCCATTCTCGATGCCGTGATGCAAATTGTCGCGCCTACCCAGTACCGGAAGATCACCGAATTCTTGAACGCATATGTCGCCCCACACATTCCTTGGCCGGTCACTGGCATTGCACTGCAGATCATATGGAACCGGAAGACCACGTATCATCGTGACCAAAACAGCTTCCATCTGTGGTATGATCTCCTGGTCACCGTCAGTGACTATGGCGACCAGGCGTATCTTGGACTCCGCAGTCTTGGCTACTCAGTCCCATACTCGCCTGGCACTGTGGCCGTCATCCTGGCAAAATATGTGGAGCACAGAGTACTGGAGGTCCAGCACACTCGCGTCGCCATTTCTTGGTACAATCGCCGGGAGATGGTCAGGGTGTGGGGTGGGAAGGAGATGTCAACGACTGCCGAAACAGACGTTCAGTCGCTGATGCGTTCGGTGATGGACTCGGTCATCGGACGGGGTCTTTGAAGTGTACGAATACAACACGGGCACTACAGATAGATGATGTGATGAAATAACGGTTACTGGGTCTTCGTGCGCTTCCGTACTTGGCTACCCTCCCCAGTCGTCCCAGACCTTTGACGGGCCTTCTTGGAGTTCCGATCATTGCCGGAAGAGCCACCGGAGTTCATTGCCGGTTCTTCCGGCGCTGCGGCGGGCGGAGTTGATGTGATCTTGACCCCGGCCGCTAGACCGGCTGCAGTGACCTGGACTGCCCGAGTGGAACGCCGCTGGAACCAAGCTATCCATTAGCACACTGGGAATACTGCAGGAGTATACACTATACCGGGGGTTGCTGCGGCGGCTTCACCGTTTTCTTGGTCGAACTCTCAACTGCCTTCCCGCCGGTAATCCCCTCGGTAGCCCCCGTTTGTCCGTTGCCGGGCAAAGTGGACGATGAAGGGCCAGAGTCTAAGGTGATCACCAGCATTCATTATATCGTAATGTACCCAGTAGTCGCTGTGACCGAAGCACGCACCATTGTCTACTGCTTTCCCCTTCTTCTTCACTGGGCGTGGCATGGGACCGGTCCGTTTCGGTTTCCACCCAGCTTCGAGCATCAGCTCCATCATATCGCAGAGGACATTCATGCACTCGGGGAAGGATCCTTTGAGGAGATTACTTGCGCCGCAACGCAATAGCGTCAAGGCGCTCTGCCCGAAATCATCTCCGCTGTCGAATTCCGGCGGAGGGGACTCCTCTCGGAAGTCGTTCGCTTGACGCGAGTCTCGGGCAAGGAGTCCAAACACCAAGCAGATCCTTTGCACCGAGACGCGGTCAAGATCCTCGCGGACCGATTCATTGCCGATCTAGTCGAGCAGTCGGACCATCTCTTGTGCGTTGTTGTAGAGATCATGGCCAACAAACCCGTGGACGTTAGCCCATGTTGCCCACGGAGCGGCTGGAATGGGTGGAATGTCCACCTTCGTCTCGAGCTATGATAGTGATATTATTATTATGTCTTCGGCACTGAAGTCGCCCACTCACCGCCTTGGCTACACGGGTCAGGAGGTTCTGGTACTGCGTCTCGGCACACAAGCTCTCGAGGAATGGGACGACCCCGCAGGGTTTGACACCGTACAGTGCCGGATGCTCCGCCGGAAGTACGGTTGTTCGACGCACAACCGGCGAACGGAGGCCTGATGGCGGTGGTGTCCTGACTTCGACGTACCCTGGGCTGTCATAGTCTTCCGACGCACCAGTGGGTGTCTCGTCAATACCGAGCGACTTCCGAACCTCATCACCGTCGCCATCCTCGTCTTCTTTGTTCTCCTGATCCTCCTTGTCGCTCGTGGTGTTGTCGTCGGAGTCGTTGTCGCCACCATCACCGGATCGGAGCTCGTCGAACTCATCCTCTTCCCGGTCCTCCTTATCAGCCTCCTCCTCGAAGAACTTGTCATCGTCATCCTCATCAGAAAAAGTTGCCCTTCCTTTTCCACTTCTGCCACGCTTCGCCATCTTGCCCTTCTTGCGACGCGTTGGCTTACCGGTTTCGGTAACGTGGTTGGGTGCGTTCTCGGTGATGTCATCACATAGGAGGGCTCGGTATTGACCCGGGATATACTCGGCAGTGGGCTTATACAGACCGCGCAAGAGGTGGAAGCGCCCCTCCGGAACTTGAAACACCTTCCCCGGCTCAGGCTCGGTGAAGTCTTCCGGTACCGGTAATGACGCCTCAGTCCGCAGGATGTGCGCAATCCAGTTCTTCTGAGCGATGACTGACATCTTGCTCATGCAGTCAAACTTGTCCTTGAATTCTGTTGTCAGGTATTCTTCCGGGATGTATTTTTCGAGTTCCAGTTTGATGGTGCTCCATGGGACAGAATTGAGCAAGACACCGTCCCCAGTCGCGAGACCTATTGCCGAACTTTAGTTTGCAATCCGCATTAATGATATTCACTGACTCAGACGAAGACGGAAAAAGTCGCAACCGTGAGCGTAAACATCCTTTGTTGTCATCTTCTTCCCATTGCGAGGAGAACAATATGGCTGCGGCAGACCATACTTGTATTCAAACGGGACCGTCGTTGAGCGATCCCGCCGCTGCCGACGGAAGAGGTTGTGATCACGGAGCGCCTAATATTACGGTAATGAGTGCCTAATATTACGGTAATGAGCGCCTAATATTACGGTAATGAGCGGTAATACACGGTAATGTGCAGAGTCTTTACCGGGGGGCCCTCATCGCCGGCCATGCCGAGGAGCCTACCGAAGGTCTCCAAGCAGGCCACCTTCGTGTTGGTGTCCCAGAGCTCGTGCTTTTGAAGAGCAGTAGCATTGTCAATGTACTGCGTGGTATCGTCGCTGAGAACGGAGTCAATACACATTAGTGGGGCGACAGAATTTTCTCACAAATGGGTATTGACCTGACCACCAACAGCTGGGCAGGTCGTGTATACAAAGACCGCTGCACCACAAACGCGGAAGATGAATTTGATAAACTCTTCGACGATGTGAACCATATTCTTGTTCGCGTAACTAACAAATAATCAATACCGACGGCGGTACACATGCAAACCCATGCGTACTCTCGCTGAACGTCCGGAGGCGGCGGCTTCGTGTTGTACTCGGCAGCCAAATCCAGCCACTCCTCTTGCTCCTCCTCGTCGAGTAGCTTCCACATCTCTGCTGCCTGGCTGTTTTTCATGCCAAACGTCGCGTCCTTGCCTGCCTGCTGTTCAACTTCTTTGAAGTTCTTACTGTACCAGAGGCCACAACCGGTGAACAACCTGAGCCTGCACCAGTCCGGTGTTCCCTCCTGGTGGTCGGCAGTGTGGTTGCTGAACCACAGCGAACATTTCTGCACAGATTGAAGAAAGAATTCTTGTTGGAATCACCTAGAGACTCACCTTTTGCACGAAGCCCGCCAAGAACGGGGCGTCAAGACCTCGCTGATGCAGAAAGACCTCCACCAAGTTCTTCTCAATTGTCCGGCGGGTTGCCGTTTGTGCAGGCTTCCACTTCTCTATCGCTTTTCGCATCTCCGAAACCTCGGACGTCTTCCACTGGAAATCTGAAAACGGGTCTTCGGGAGCGTTTTCGGTAGTTGACATTGCGCAAGCAGAGTGGGAAAGACGGCGGTGTGATGATCGAGGGAACGGTTGATGTGTCGAGGACAGTCAATCCATCTCAGACCCGGAATTTTTTGTACACATTTATTTGGTCCTGTTTCAACTCAGCGGACAGTAGGAGTATGTCTTTGCTGAGTCCTTGATATCATCGATACGAGCAAGCTTTCCCCTCGCTCGTCTGTTCTCTCACTCTGCCATCATGCCCCTCGCCAATCCCCAGCAAGCTCAAGTACTCAATACTACAACTTCGCAAACGTATTACACCAAGGACGGCCACAGGCACACCAAGAAACGCAAGATCGACCCAGGCCCACCGGTTTACGCATCAGCCGGTGGCTCAGAGGACTACCGGAGCGGGGCCTCACGAGTGCCGGATCCGACCCCTCAATCAGACGCACGTGATGATGGAACCGCTTGGGAGATGCCCGAAGTTACACAGCTGGGGCCCAGCGAGAAAAAATCCAAATACAAGGCAATTGTCTTCTGAGTTTTTGCCTCACTTTGCTCATACTCTGTGCAGAAGCAAGTGACCATGCATGAAGAATGGTTACCTCTGGCTCCAACATTCTTGCGAAGACTCATCGAACGTTGGAAACCGGTAGAGCCGGAAGCCAAGTGCGAGTGCGGTGGGGTGTTGGCGTGGAGATGTCGCACGTGTTTGGGTCAGCCAATGTTTTGCTCCAAATGCTGCAGAAAGGCACATCTCCACCTCGTGCACCACCGCGTCGATTTTTGGGATACCGATCATTGGCGGCGCGCATCGCTATTCGATCTGAGACTTCAGGTTCACTGCGGTCATGACGGCAGGCTATGTCCAAGTCTCATGGAACTGCCTCCTGGGGCTGTACCGGAACTCAATCTACCACCTATTGCTGACGACTTGGATTCGCTCGAGCCACCCGAAGACGCTGCCAATCTACTGATTGACGAGTATCCTGAAGATCTGGACGAGGAAGATGAGGACGACACAGTAGTCGGCGAAGAGGCCGGCATTGGATCAAATACCGGTCAAACTAACCACGATGCCGCCGGCAGTCCGTCCAGCACCGCTTCACCGGACGTACCCGTGTACCGAGGGGAGCGCATTCTCACGGTGGTACACACTAGTGATCACCACGGGTGGGCATGACCCGGCCGGGTCCCGGGTGCGGGTCATGCGGGTACGGGTACGGGTGCAGTTGGGACGACCCGTGCATTTGTGGGGTGACCCGCGGGTAACCCGGCAGAGTCACGCCCTACTGAACGTCCTGATGGGCGCTTCCGCCGTGGCAGCGCATGGCACGTCGGCACTGTGTTCAGCCCGAGACCGAGTGGCTAGCGCCACTGACTGTACAGTTCTAGCCTTACATAATCATATGCCATCCGTCCCAGCCCTTTGTTGGCTTACTTCTGCCTTCCACCTGCTGAAAATCACCCCTGCCTTTAACTCATCCATGTCCGACAAGGGTACCACCCACCCCGCTCCACCTCAAAAGCGACCCACATCGCCCTCTGCAGAACATGGGGCTCCCGAGAAGCGTCATCGGACCCTCACGAAGCGAGCTCAGCGGATGCTAGAAGACGAGGGGATGGTCGTAAGTTTCTAATCATTCTGGACCATGAGGCGTACACTCACATCGAGGCCAGCCTGGGGCTGCAGGTGCAAGTGTCGCAGAGCCTGCTGGTGACGCCATGGGCAATGCTACACCCCCCGTGAAGTCCACTGGCGATGCCGCACCCCGCACAAAGCCCACCGACGACGCCCCACCCCACACAAAGCCCACCGGTGACGCTGCGCCCCGCGCGAAGCCTGCCGGCGACGCCCCACCCCGCGCGAAGCCCGCCGGTGACGCCCCGCCCCGCGCGAAGCCTGCCGGCGACGCCCCGCCCCGCGCGAAGCCTGCCGGCGACGCCCTGCCCCGCGCGAAGCCTGCTGGCGATGCCCCGTCCCGCGCGAAGCCTGCCGGCGACGCCCCACCCCGCGCGAAGTTGGCTGGTGACGCTGTACCCCGCACGAAGCCAGCGGACAACACCGCTTCCCGCGCAAAGGTCACTGCTCCCCACACAAAGCCTTCTGGTGGCGACGCGGCCTCCCATGCAAACCCCACGGGTGACGCTGCAGCTACTGGTGATAAGAGGTCGAAGGTGCGTCACAAGAAGGGACGGAAGCCGAAAAATCCAGGGAAGCCGGCTGGTCCGGGGGTGGCGAAACAGAAAACAGGAAACCGTCGCAAGGCACCGTACTGCTTGTCCGAAGAGGAGGAGGAAGCTGCGCATCACAACGTCATCAACATCTCGGACGACTCAGACTCGAACAGCGGTGACGAATCAAACTCACCTGCACCAACCTTCACGAAGGGTAAGAACGGTGTGCCATGGTTCAATGACGATGACGATGGGCTAAAGCAGCTGGGTAAGTGTAAGCTTCACAATCCCAAATCGACATTCACTCACCAATGTCACCTGTATAGCTGCCATGATGGATCGTGGATGGGACTCTCCCATTTACGGTTTCTTCAAGCCCATTCCAAAGGTCGCCTCGGACGTCAACGGACGTCGCATGCACATATTCGAGTGCACGGCGAAGAGCTGCCACAAGAAGAGCGTCAATCGCTACATCGACAAGGGTGACGCAACATCTACCGGAAACATGACAAGGCATGCAAAAGGCTGCTTCGGTGACGAAGCAGTGAAGCGCGCTACCAAGGCTGATATGACGCCTGCGGAGGTGCGTCAGCGCTTTGGTAAGAATGCGTCGGAGAGCGGGGACATTACCTCGTTCTTTGAGCGCAATGGCAAGGGACCAGTTACGTACTCCCATCGCCAGCACACACGCACTGAGACGCGGTATGTCCTCTCCATGCTCGTGCCAAGTTGATGGCTATATTTACGGCTGTGTCAGTGCGGAGTTTGCGCGATGGGTCGCAGAGTCATACCGGCCGTTCGATATTGTCAAGGACGCCCGTCTACAGTCGCTACTGAAGACGGGCAGGCCTGGATACTGGATCCCATCTGCTACAACGGTCGCGCGCGACGTCAAGACGCTCTTCGCGCGCTCGCGCACTCGTATCAGCTGTTTTCTTCGAGTGAGTGGGGTGCGCTAGAGTATTCAGGATTATGTGATTTGCTGACCTACCTGCAGGAGTACGATGGGCGACTCAGCTTGTCCACAGACTGCTGGTCGTCTCCAAATGGGCATGCGTTTGTGGCTGTCATTGTGCACTTCGAGCACAATGAAGAGCCGCTTAGCATGGTGCTCGACGTTGTCGAGCTTGCGGAAGTGCGTACCTTTGTGTGTTGCCCACCTCTCTGGTCTCCGCTAACCACAAAACCTGCTAGTCGCACACAGGGAAGGCCTTGGGCGAAACTCTAATCCGCATCCTCTGCGAATTTGGTATTGAGGAGTTGGTGCGTGCGGCGTGCCTCAGAATGCGTATGAACATATGCAGATGACTGATAGAACTACTCACACAGATCCTTGGTGTCGCCTGCGACAGTGCGTCTGCCAATTTGGCGATGCTCAAGATAATGGAGAGGGACCTTCAAAAGTTCCGTGCTTCTTCCGGACATGTTGCCTGCTTCGGACATGTCATCCAGCTCGTCGGCACAGGCTTGCTGAAGCAGTTCGACCCGGACAAGAAGAAGCCAGGTGATGTCGTTGCAGAGGGTGATAATGAGGATGAGGACATGGAGGGTGCGGGGGATGAGTGCTATGAGGACGATGAAGAAGAAGACGGGGATGAGGACGACCTTGAGGAGTTCATGGGTGGCGATGAGTGGGTCGACGACATGTCCGGGATGACCCCGGGTGAGCTGCGCGATTTCCGCGCTAATCTCCGCCCGGTGCGCACAATGCTTACTAAGGTGAGTTCCCACTCCTATCTGTGTTCAATGGCTCACGGTTTCGTCGTCTCCAGCTCCGTCGCCTGGCGGCCACCATCCGCAAGTCGACGACAATCTTGCTGCCTGCATGGAAGAAGCAGCTCAAGAATCTCAATCAAGACATTCTCATGCTGAAGCAAGACGTCAGGACACGATGGTGTTCGACTCACGATATGCTCAAGCGGGCCGTCCGTCTGAAGACAGCCATCAAGTCATTCTGCGAGGCCGACAACGACCTCCATCCGGACCTCGACCTAGAGGAGTACCAGCTATCTAGGCGCGAGTGGTCGATCGCCGAGCAACTTCTCGAGGTGCTCAAGGTCCGTGTCTCTTGCTCTCACAACTGTCTTCTTCTTTCTGATCATCTTTCTGCCTGTTCCCACCACCCTGTCGTCTCCCTGTCCTCATGCCATCTCCCCGCATCTTCGTCTCATCTCCCCATGTCCTTTTCTTGTCTCCCCGCATCGTCTCTGTGTTACCTTGGACATCGTCTTTCTCTGCATGCCCTCGTTTCGTCTCCGTGCGTCGTCTCTGCTTCATCTGATCGTCCCCACACCCATGCCACATCCACACGGCATCCCCCTGTCTTCTACTCGTGTTCGTCTCCTCGCATCGTCTCCACCCCCCAGGTCTTCAAGGACGCGACACTGTTCTTCTCCCGGAGCACGCCAAACCTCGCAAGCGTCATCCCAGTCATGGATGTCCTTGATGAGCGCCTTACCACGACTGCACTGCCGGGTAGCAAGACCTCAAAGGGTGTACCCTACGACCCGGCCGTTCGATTTGCTCACAAGTTTGCGCAGCAGGTTCTCAATAAGTACTATGAACTCACAGACTCTTCAGAGTGCTATCGCATTGCCATGGGCGAGTTCTAACGTCATTTCTTGGTATACAGTAGCTAATCAGACTCGTCTGTAACAGTGCTGCACCCGAGCTTCAAGCTCGAGTACTTCAAGACCCACAATTGGCAAGATGAGTGGGTCGAGACTGCAAAGACTCTCGTCCGCGACGAATACGACTCAAACTACAAGCGCCACCCCCAGCAATCTGAGCCTGCGGATGACACGGACCAGGATGACGACAATGTTGCGCATGTGGCACGGCCTCGCGGTAGCAAGGTACGTTCTGTTATCAGCTATCTTATGCATTATAATATGGGTCGTCCGGGCGCATCAAAAGGTTACCCGCATCGCCCGCATCGAGCTGCTTGTGTCGCCCGTGTCGAGCTGTCCGCGTCGCCCACGTTGAACCGACCGTGTTGGCCACGTCAAGCAGCTTGACGCGGGCGCGTCAAGCAGCTCGTTGCGGGCGCGTTGAGCTGCCCGCATCGCCCGCGTTGAGCTGCTCGTGTCGCCCGTGTCGAGCTGTCCGCGTCGCCCACGTTGAACCGGCGACCGTGTCGGCCATGTCAAGCAGCTCGTTGTGGGCGCATTGAGCTCACCCGCGTCGAGCTGCCCTCACTGCCCGCGTTCCCTGCGTTGAACCGACCGAGTCGGCCACGTCGAGCAGCTCGTCGCGGGCACGTCGAGCTGCTCGCGTCGCCCGCGTCGAGCTGCTCGCGTCGCCCGCGTCGAGCTGCTCGCGTCGCCCGCGTCGAGCTGCTCGCGTCGCCCGCGTCGAGCTGCTCGCGTCGCCCGCGTCGACCTGCTCGCGTCGCCCGCGTCGAGTTGTCCGCGTCGCCCACGTTGAACCGACCGAGTCGGCCACGTCGAGCAGCTCGTCGCGGGCGCGTTGAGCTGCCTGCACCGCCCGCACCGCCCACACCGAGCCGCCCACGTTGCCCACGTTGAGCTGCCCACACCGCCCACGTTCCCCACGTCGAGCTGCCCACACCGCCCAGGTTCCCCGCGTTGAACCGACCATGTCGGCCACATTAAGCAGCTCGACGCGGGCGCGTCAAGCAGCTCATCGCGGGCGCGTTGAGCTGCCCGCATCGCCCGCGTTGAGCTGCTCGTGTCGCCCGTGTCGAGCTGTCCGTGTCGCCTGTGCCGAGCCGCCCACGTCGCCCGCGTTGAGCTGCCCACACCGCCCGCATTCCCCGCGTTGAACCGACCATGTTGGCCATGTCGAGCTGCTCGTCGCGGGCGCGTCAAGCCGCTCATGTCGTCCGCGTTGGCCACGTTGAGCTGCTCACATCGGGTGCATTAGGTTGCCCGGTATTCATGAAGTTCCTACGACATAGTATGTACAATATGCTGATTCCATTTCTTACAGGATGACGATGACGTCAATATGTTCGACAATTTCGACTTCCTCCCAGATGGGGGAGACTCGATGGACACAGACGAGTTGACCCGCTACCTTGCGGAGTCAATCGTACGTGTTGATGACCCACTCGACTGGTGGCGTTCACATGCGAAGCAGTACCCATGCCTGAGCCGCATGGCAAGGGACTTTCTGATGATTCCTGGTGAGTTTCAGTGCCGTCTTCAGGCATGGCATTTTCGTGCTGACATGTAGGCTCGTTCATAGCCACTTCTATCGATGTCGAGCGACTGTTCAGCCGTGGTCGTTTGCTGCTGCCGTATGTGCGCAACCGGCTTTCTGCGCAGACGACCCGCGCTCTCCTGTGCCTCGGCAGCTGGTCTGGTCTCGGATTTATTCATAGCGAGGATGTTTTGAAGGTTGCCGCATTGGACGAGATCGAAGAGAACGAAGTTCTCGATTACTGTATGCCGAAGGGATACGATAGGATCGAGATCAAGCACGCTGGTTAGTGTATTATGTCATATGTTCTGCTACGAAAGGTACCTAGTCACTTCCCCTGTGCATTGCAAGTCACGCTTTCTGTCAGCACATATCACACTGCACTTAGGTATTCCTCTGTTTTCCCCTCTGGTTGGGCTGACCCTCGGGTGACCCGTTGAGGGTATGACCCGCGCAAACCCGTGTGCATAGGCGCTGACCCGTGGCTCGAGTGACCCGGGGGTCCGCGGGTCCCGGGTTTCGTGGGTCCGGGTCCGGGTCAACTCAAAAATACCCGGGGGTGACCCGTGGTGATCACTAATTGCCGCTACCTTCTTTTGGGCCATCGGCCAGTTCCACGTTCACGGCCATCAAAATTGGTGTTACGCTCGGCATTCGCTGAGCTTCGTTCCCAACGTCGGCCATCAAGATGGTGAAGTTGTCGAAACCCTCTGGAAGCCATTGAATTTTATTAAGGACAGTATTCGTGGGATGGCTACGTCGCATCGCAAAGAGGTTATCGACGCTCACATGCAAGATTCGAATTGGATGAAGCTCTGTCGTCTACGTAGGTCTCTTCCGGAAGTCATGTTCGGCAATCGGTACTTATCGGCCCGGCAGCGAAGTCATTGGTTGACAAGTGGGAGGAATCAGTGGAAGAGTACACTGCAGCAAAGGAGGCCTTTCAAGAAATTGACTGTGTTGCTAATGAGGAAGAGCGCGCCGAATGGAAACAGGAGATTCTCGATGTGCGAGAGGCACGCAAAACCGATGCCTCCGCCATGGACATTTTTACACCGAAAAAGATCAAACGTGAGTCTGATCTTAATAACTGCACACTTATATTCATTAGACTACAGCAGCGAACAAGACGCAAGTCAGGACGGCTCTCTTGAACGGCGACACCACACACACGGTATCACTCGAGAATCCGATCTCAGCGGACTTACTTGCATGGCTCTCATTGGGAATCAGTATAGACCGCCAGAGGTGAGCCAGTTCCGCACCACCTGAATATATCGGTCAAGGTCTCGGTATTCAATGATCGGTATTGCCAATGCCGAGGGTCCGCATCTCGCGTGTCGGTAATCACCACAGGCGCTCGACCGTGAAGTGGATACTGGGGCACATGTGCAATAATGCGTTTGGCAGAATGCATGCTGATTTATCATGTTCAGGGTGGTCATTGCGCGACTCGTTCGGGACTTGCGGCAGAGCTCTACCGACAAGGCGAAACTGACGATTTCGGAGAAGAGGCAACGGTTGTCATCGGACATTCGATCGTTCAATACTGACGGGACAAAGTATCTCAGTAACGCTCCTCCCCGGCTGGTCGTTGGCCCCGGGGATCTCGGCGAGGAATGGGATTCCCTCGAAGACTATGGGACTGACGCAACAGCGAACACGCCGCAGGCAACTGACTCCGGCAGTCTAGAGAAACTTCCCATTCTCATGCCGTCCTCACTCGGTATTCGGTATTGCAAGGATCACGGTCTGCTAGACGTCGTCCTTGCGGAGCGAGAACTTTGGAAGGGAGAGATGAACGAATGTCTATCCGGTGTTCGTGACGGGATTGACACCAAGTCCTACCTTTACTACGCTCGAGTTCGCAACGCCACTTCCGTCTGCAAATCTCTCCGCTCCTTTAGCGAGATCCAGACGGTCGACCACTCGGTAGCGAAGTATGTCCGGCTCTACATGCTTTCTCGCACCGCCCTCGCTGCCCTGTACGACCCGAACGACCCTGAAGATGTCAAGAAAAAATCGGATGATCTGGTCATTTACAAGCCCATCACGAAGTCCGATCTCACTGTCAACACCACGATCCTGGAAGCAACCACCAGAGGTGCTCGGAACAAGCACCCTTCATGGATCTGGACGTTTACCGGAACATCGGAAGAGGGCTCCACCTTGTACAATGATGAAAGTACGTGGCTCCGCCCACTGGTCATTAACACGCCTGACATCTTGTAGCCCGACGAACAATGTGGTAGCGTGGCTACGAGCGAAAGGACCGTTGGTGGGAGAACCTGAATGCGCTTGACCTGGAGATGCTTTGCGTGGTGCTGGATTTTGCGCGCCTCAAGGAGAACTGGTTCCGCCGGGCCGTGTTCATGGCGGAGTCACCCTGCCATAAGTGTTACACTAACGGACAAGCTCGCATGTGGGAGAGAAAGGAGAAGCAGAGCGCAGATATGTTCCGCACTGTCCGTCTCGCGCATCCTAAACCTCTTCAGTAGATTATACCCTGTATTTGGCTGTATAGACACATCTGCCTTGGTAGTGATTGCATGTATCCGGCAATGAACTCTGTGCCGGCATTTCCGCTCCTCAGCGCTTTGTTTGTTATCGGCATTCTCGGCATTCTAAGGCTGTTCGCGGATCTACCCACGGATGATCCGGATCCAAACCCACGGATCATGTGACATCTGGGGGCTTTGATCTGGATCCGCGTGGCTCAGATCCGCTGAAAGAGCCGGAGCTGCGCGATCTGGAGCCGCAACCCACGGGTAGAGCCGCCAAATGAGCCGCAATCTGCGGCTCAGTGCAGATCTGAGGATCCCACGGATCATTGTGCAGGTTATGTGGGTTTTATAGGTCAAAATTTGTATCATAGAACGTCTATTTTACTTGTACACAAAGTCTAGATACCTCAATCGGAGTGACTTGGGTGGCAGCGCACACTCCGTGAGACAGGGAGTGCATGCAGACACAGACGGACATCTGAGTCCTGACATCGTGAGTGTGGGGTGCGGCGATGCGCCATGATTGCACTGGCCTTGCAGGCACACGAGAGCGGGACTAGGGCGCAGCGCGGGAGGCAACATATAAGCTAGTAAGTCGCCTCGCAGGTGGGTGACTGGTGCAGCATGAGTGCCCATGTCGTGGGTGGCCGGCATGCCAGCCGCGCGCGTGTCAGCTAAGAGACTTGGGCGAGAGACAGTTTCACAGGCACACAAGAGTGGGGATTGGGCGAGTGAAGCCATGTGAGCGCACAAGAGCAGTGGGACTTGGGCACAAAGAGGTGGCGTGGTTCGGAGACAAGGAAGATGCATATATATCACCACATTGGTGGCACGAGACCGGGACGTACAAGTACACGCAACACAGACCACTAGTCAGATACCTCAATAGGCTCGACCGTAGAGAATACGGCATCCTTGTTACCTGCTTTGCGGGACTTCTTCTCCTTGAGGTAATCGATGATCTCTTCTTCCGAGATCAGGTTGGGGACGTGCGCCCAGGACCCAAGGATAACGTTGGCTCGGACAGAGTCGTTGCCAAGGGACCGACGAAGGCGCGAGACGGTAAGGCGACCGCGCGAGAAGGCACGCTCGGCGTCCGTGGAGCTCGCTGTGTACGCCACGAGTCAGCTCATAGGCACGATGAGTGGATAACCTACATAAACGTACCAGGAATGGACAAATAGTCCAGCGCCATCTGAGCGAGAGCAGTGTTCTCCAGTACGCGAGCGGATCACGGACCGTGACCTTGGGAGGAGAGTCGAGGTACTCCTCAAGAGGATCAACGGTGTCGGCGCGGGGACGGGATGACAGACTGGCGAAGAGCTGGGGTGCGAGCATGAGTATGAGTACAGTGGGTAAGTGAGAATATGAGCACTTACGGCCGAGCTAGCACTGCGCCGCTTCACCTGTGGTTACCACTAATGTAATACAATCCCCCAGGAACGTGGGCACTTCATTATGCTGATACCCACCACGTTTTCATTGTAGAAAAGCCTGGTTGGGTTCTAACAATCACAAGCATGCCTGTGTTGTAATAACAGGCAGATGACGCAGAGTTATTACAGTGATCTTTCAGGCTGTCATAAGCAAATTCTGTAATGACAGGAGCCTCTCTGGGCTGTAATAAGTGAATTCTCTAATGACAGGGACCTCTCTGTGTTGTTATAAGTGAAATCTGTAATGACAGAGACCCCTTTGGGCTGTTATAAGCCTTATTCTTAATGACAGCACCCTCCCAGAGCTTGTATAAGTGACGTACTTTATAACAAAAGCCTCTCAAGCTGTAATAAGCCTCATTCTTAATCACAGCACCCTGCTAGAGCTGTAATAAGCCTTGTTAGTAATGACAGGGCGACACCTAGGCTGTTATAAGTGACGTACTTTATGACAAAAGTCTTCTAGCCTTGTAATAAGCTGATATTCTAATGACAGTACCTTCCCAGAGGTGTAATAAGCCCCATTTATAATGAAAAAGCAACCCCAGTGCTGTAATAACCCACGTAAGGTACTGTCTAGCTATTAATAGCCTTATATTGTGGCTGGCCTGGCTGGCCATTAATACCTGGCATACGGGTACTCTACCCTACCCTGCAGCCCCCAATTGGGTGAATAGTAGCTGCCTACAAGACAGTTATCAATAGTGGCAGATAGCAGCACGTTCCTGCAGCCAGAATAGGGTGCAATAGCTGGTTCCTGCACATAAACGGTAGGGGTTGCACAGCTGGGTGGGGTGGGAAAACGGCCAGGCACTATATATATATCGAAAGGAGCATCATGTAGCTTTCAAACGCATCCAAGAGCATGCCATTTGGAGCAGTATCAGCAGAGATACAGATGTACCCCTGTTTTTGCCGATAGGCACATCCACTAGAATTGGTAATTGTGGATGGATCCCCTCCGTTCTTCTTTCATAGTGTGTGGTTCTCTCTCCAATAGACGGGATTGAAGTCCGATCTGAAAAATATGCACACAATCTAGATTAGATCACTGATTACGCTTCAGCCACAGCACTTTTGATGGCTTGATATCTCTGCACCACATTCCCCGATAAGCATTTGGTTTGTTGCAGTCTCTTACATGCTCATATGCAAACACGCTCTGGGTGTCATTTAGACGTGAAACACTCTGGACATGTCCCTGCGCATCTGTGCACGTTCAACACCCCTTCATTCATAGCTCCACAACCACTGCTCAGATTGCCAAGCATCTTGCTGTGTTATATTTAAAATCTACCGCCTAACCTGCTCTCATTGTCAAAATCGTTATCAGGATGTATTTTAAACATGTCTGTTCTTATTTTTATTCCCATCAATTCCTGTTCATATCTTCACCATATCGTCTGATAACATTGGACATAACCGATCTGAATTACTCTTCACTTCACGTATTAAACACATCAACAATCATGAGATTTGGTCAGGAACTCAAGAAGATATGGCATCTGCAGTAGCAACAGAGTGCACTTTTGCTTCGCAGCTACACCTCCCACTTCACACAACCATGCAATTGGGCCCACACAGACATTGATATGGTGTAATGACACATGGAACATGTTTGTGTATACTACTAAACTCAATAGAGCATAACTGCCACACTTGGGGGTGAGTATACCACTGGATGCTTGCATGTACGGGTGTTATGTGAAGAGGTTTTATGCCACACTGTGCAGCTCAGTATTGCATTCCAGGCCCTGATGTGACATCTCAGCCAATTCTTGGCCGATCAACAAGATTATTTTTGCATCTTGAAGCTGTGTTCTATCTGAGTTCAAATCAACTACATATACCACTATCAGACCAGCGAGTAGCCTCAGATCAGGAGGTAAACTGAAGGTGAGATATGGGTTTACCAAGACTATCAGATGTGCGATAAGAGATTTTGAACCTGATTTCGGCTCCGCTTTACAATGCTGAATGATTGCAGCAAACAGCATGGTGATTGGGGCTGCAGTTGTGGAGCTATGAATGAAGGGGTGTTGAACGTGCACAGATGCGCAGGGACATGTCCAGAGTGTTTCACGTCTAAATGACACCCAGAGCGTGTTTGCATATGAGCATGTAAGAGACTGCAACAAACCAAATGCTTATCGGGGAATGTGGTGCAGAGATATCAAGCCATCAAAAGTGCTGTGGCTGAAGCGTAATCAGTGATCTAATCTAGATTGTGTGCATATTTTTCAGATCGGACTTCAATCCCGTCTATTGGAGAGAGAACCACACACTATGAAAGAAGAACGGAGGGGATCCATCCACAATTACCAATTCTAGTGGATGTGCCTATCGGCAAAAACAGGGGTACATCTGTATCTCTGCTGATACTGCTCCAAATGGCATGCTCTTGGATGCGTTTGAAAGCTACATGATGCTCCTTTCGATATATATATAGTGCCTGGCCGTTTTCCCACCCCACCCAGCTGTGCAACCCCTACCGTTTATGTGCAGGAACCAGCTATTGCACCCTATTCTGGCTGCAGGAACGTGCTGCTATCTGCCACTATTGATAACTGTCTTGTAGGCAGCTACTATTCACCCAATTGGGGGCTGCAGGGTAGGGTAGAGTACCCGTATGCCAGGTATTAATGGCCAGCCAGGCCAGCCACAATATAAGGCTATTAATAGCTAGACAGTACCTTACGTGGGTTATTACAGCACTGGGGTTGCTTTTTCATTATAAATGGGGCTTATTACACCTCTGGGAAGGTACTGTCATTAGAATATCAGCTTATTACAAGGCTAGAAGACTTTTGTCATAAAGTACGTCACTTATAACAGCCTAGGTGTCGCCCTGTCATTACTAACAAGGCTTATTACAGCTCTAGCAGGGTGCTGTGATTAAGAATGAGGCTTATTACAGCTTGAGAGGCTTTTGTTATAAAGTACGTCACTTATACAAGCTCTGGGAGGGTGCTGTCATTAAGAATAAGGCTTATAACAGCCCAAAGGGGTCTCTGTCATTACAGATTTCACTTATAACAACACAGAGAGGTCCCTGTCATTAGAGAATTCACTTATTACAGCCCAGAGAGGCTCCTGTCATTACAGAATTTGCTTATGACAGCCTGAAAGATCACTGTAATAACTCTGCGTCATCTGCCTGTTATTACAACACAGGCATGCTTGTGATTGTTAGAACCCAACCAGGCTTTTCTACAATGAAAACGTGGTGGGTATCAGCATAATGAAGTGCCCACGTTCCTGGGGGATTGTATTACATTAGTGGTAACCACAGGTGGCCGCTTGGGAAGGCGGATGACGGGCGCGCCAGGGAGCTGGGCGCTGAACATCTCGGCGGAAGTCGCAGGGGAAGTCGCAGGGGCGCGAGGTCGGTAGTTCTCGGCCCAGTCGTCTGTAATAAGGGTGCGTGCTGTGACGATCCACTCCTCCGGCCAGTTGGCATCCCGGAAATACGTGAGCTTGTACGCGGGATGAAGAACTGTAAGGAGAATGGTGGTAAGCGGAGATATACAGGGTAAATGAGGTGGTCGACGTACTCATAGCAATGCGGTACAGCGGAGTCTCGTCAGTCTTGCCGTAGTACTTGTTGAGGAGGCTACGTGCGAGCGCAGCACCCTTCTTGACGGCTGGGTGAAGGTCTGGCTCTTCGATGAAATCGTCGAGGTGCTTAGTAAGGATATCCATGAACGGAATCACCTCGTGGAGCAGCCCGCGCGTGCTCGAGGAGATCTCGTTCGTCGCAAAGAGAAAGGGCTGCATGGACAGGTCAGATGTGACAGTACAGCGAGGACTTGAGCACTTACGTCCATAAGATGGAACAACTGTTCCAAGATGCTCCACTCGTGATCAGTGAGGATGAAACGACGCAGGCGGACACTTTTGACTCGATTGAACTGATGCATATCACACAGTTGGTTGAGGACCTCCTTCATTTCGAGCGCGCGGCCGATGACCATGACCAACGTGTTCCACCGTGTCTTCACAGAGCGAACGAGCACCCGCGCTTTAAGTCCAGCGGCATCGGCAAGCTTTTCAAGCTCCTCGCACACCAGCGGGGTGTGCCAGACCTTCTTGGAGAGCATCGTGATCTGTGCAGGAAAAGATTCAGCTGTCATCACCGTACAAGGATGATCACAATGAGAATGGGATGCACGCACCTTCTCAAGCGCCACAATAGCCTCCTTGAGTTCTTCTTGGGTGCAGGGGGTGCAGGGGGTGTCGAGGTCGTTGAGGTCGTCTCCAAAGAGGTCTTGAATGAGGTCGTCGTCAGCGGCCTCGCGCGAGTCATCCGGGATCTCGTCCGCAGCGTCGTCGTCGTCAATGTCGGACTCCGATAGTTCGTCGATGCCATCGTCATCATCATCAGCACTGGGGGCTGACGAGTTCTTGCGCAGCCGCTTCTTGTGGAACGGCTTGACAGCGGCCTGGACAGGATATTAGCATGATAAGCATGATATAAGACGACCAAGAAAGCAGCATTGCGTACCTTGCTCACGAGATTGAGAACATGTCCGAAGCACCGAACGTGCCCATGGCCGATGCGTAGGTCCGGGAGGGTCTCGCGAAGGATCCGCATCAGGGCGACGTTGACTTCAGCATTGTCACAGGTGACTGCAATTACCTGTAAAACGCGATTTAGCATGCACGAAATTGTGCCGTAGTCCCACAGACTCACCTTGTCGAGAATGCTGAAGTCGCGCAAGCACTGCTCGAGCTTTTCGGCAAGGTACTTCGCGGTGTGCGCCTTCGTCAACCTACATCATAAGGAACTGTGAGTAACAAACATAGTATAAATAAGCAGAGATACGTACTTGATGAAATCAAGTATAATATGGCATATGGCGCCCTTGTGGTGCCAGTGCGCAGTGACCCCCAGGTAGGAGATCACATTCGGTGCCGTCCAACCATCCATACAGATATGAATGCCCCCCTTGTGATCCTATCCAGAGGTTTCAAAAGACGTATGGAAAGAAAGATTAGATAATCTCGTACCTTCAGCTCCGTGACGACGTTGTCCTTCGACATCTTGTGGATCTCACGGACATCGCGAGAGACAGTCTGGCGCGTCGGAAGGGTCACCTTGTTGTAGAGCATCCCGAGGATGGTCCGGAACTCGGGATCCTCGACGATGGTGAAAGGTCGGTGGTTTTTCGCGCACCACATCGCCACGAGATAGCGCATCCGGTGGGGAGTGTACGTCACCCCGGCGGCGAAGTTCTCAATGAGTGCGGTCTCAGACGTGTCCTCGGGTTCACAAGCTTTGACGTGCCGGGCGAGATTGCCAGTGCTCTCTTCATGTTCAGGCCGATCGACGCTCTTCAATTTGTGCCTGACGCGTACGAGGGATAAGCGTATGTGGGAGACGAAGCTACAGAGATGCTCACGTTTTGCAGAAGAAGCGATGGATGATCGCACCGTTAGCACCCTTGATGATCTGCGGTGGCCGGTGGAAGTGTTTATAGTACTTCGAGCGCCACTTCTTCATGATCATATCTAGCGTTGAACATATGAGATATGCGGCTTAACGAGAAGCCGAGTGAAGGACGTACCAAGCGTCTCCTCAGGAGACTTCCCCGCATACCGCTTGGCGAACCTGGCCCGGTTCATGTTGTCCGTCTGGATACCGGCGAGTTGAGCGGCTGTGTTCGTACGTCCCTTCAGCGCGGCAACACCGTCGTCCGAGAGACCATCGTCGTTGGTCTCGATCTCGGAACTATTGTCGTCGGCCTGACTAGACTCAGGGACGTCCAGATGGTCGCCATCGGTGTTGCTGGAGGCGACAGACTCGCTGGCCCTCTTGCGCACGCGCCCAGAGCTGAGAAGAGGTGTTAGATAGCACGTGGGGCAGGATAAGCGAGCGACGTACCCTCCGTTATCGGCCTTGTGGCGCTTCATTTCGTGAGGAGGGGACGCAGACGCGGAAGGGGGAGGAGCGTCGGGGGTGTCGTGAGAGCTGACAAAGTGAGCATGGTCGTTGGTTTTGGAATGGCGACGTTTGGCAGCCGCGGTGGCGGCGGAGATTGGGGTGCGAATAGTGCCAGTGGACATGGCGATAGGCAAGGACTGTCGGAGAGAATGAGGTAACGATCAAGGGAGGAAGAAAGTCAGAGCGTACTTCTCTTCGGAGACGGGCTTATGTACCGGCGTACCGCACCATCCCATGGTGTATACAGCGCTGCGAGCCCATGGCGGCTGGCCCTCTGAACGGTGAAATTGCGCAATGGGTCTTCCGCGCGGGCTCAATGTGGGTCGCCGTGACGAAGAAAGGTCATGTGCCCACTGGGCCATTCGTTCTGGTGGAATACGAACAGGGTCAGCTCGGACCGCATCTGGGAAAGAAAAAGAGTAAAAATCTCACCTCAACGCCCATCAAGGGCACATCTCTCGTGCGTGCAGCTCTGACGGGTGATGCCTCCGAGATTGAGGCCGATACGAGCCTTCATGTGTTGACTCAGATGACTGGCGGCGTAAGCCTTGTGGCCATGTCTCAGGTCCCCCAGTCACAACTCGTGCAAGAGCCGGAGTGCCGTCGGAAGAGAAACAAGCGTACAAAAAGGGTTAGGACATACTTGGGCATCGTGGAGAGGTCGTGGCACACCATTTCGTCTTGAAAATCCGCGTGGAGAGGGACCACCAAGACAGGGATGATGTTGAACCGGTATCTTGCTGTGTAACCACCTAGATCGATCTCACTGGGCGCCAAGATAGATGATTCTGTACGCACACAGCAAGGGGTGAGGGTGGGGCTTCGTAGGGGGGTCGGATGTCGAGGGACGGAGACGAACCGGTGGAGGGAGAGAGCCAGCTGCCAGAGGCGTGGGGAGTCAAAGCGGCTAGCCGCTTGAGAAGACGCGGTCGGCTGCAATCTACCGTGCCAAACGACACGCGCGCCCTTCTCACCGCCCTCTGCCCTGCTCCTCTCACATTCCCTCCCGCATCTTCAACCCTTTCCTGCCCAAGATGTTTAAATAAGGTGAGATCTGTCGGAAATCGGCTGTGCGTCTTGCTCACCATATACGGCCTAGCTGCGCACGTTACAATGTCCCGCATCAGCACGCAGGCAGATCGTTATCTGCCTGGCGCCTAGCCCATTTCGACCACAAACACACAACCTGAAGCTCTCTCCCTTGGTGTGACGAAAGGGAACACCTGACAGGGGCAGAACAGGCCTCATGATGGCGATAGTGAGTCTCTGTCAGACACTGGTGTGATTTGTCGGGCAGCTGGGACTAGGTATGTACTTCGTCTCGCGATCTCCTCCGCCCCCGACTCAACCCCCTCCCTGGCACGCAAGATGTCGATCATCGAAGACACCGACCCCGCCATCTACCTGTTCACTGAGACAAGACGTGGCCCTGCCGTCGGCCCACCATCCACACCCCCATTGAGCCACGAGTGGCTTACCATTCTGGTCGATGGCGTTGCCGACACACTCGTTGTAAGTACCGGTTTTCGAACACATGAGCTACTCTAACAACTAGCCATGTAGCTCATGCTCCCATACACTCAAGCTGCGCTGGACTCTGTCGACCCTACACGTGCTGAAGCATGGCTCTCAATAGTGGGCGGACCCGAGCTTCGCCGCTGTGGCCTCCGCGACGACCAGAACGGGCTACTTCTCCAGCTGGTTCTCGCGTACTCCGAATTCGCCAAGAACTCCCCCGCCGTCCAACACGTCGACTTCCACCTCTTCCTCGACACTCTATTCATCTTCCTCGAAGACCTTGACCCTCATGACCATGCGGACACAGTCCTGTACTCGATGAGTCTATTCATGCTTGATATCATACCTGAGGTGAGCAAATTCTTCAACTGGTTTGGTAGGATACATATCTGACTACGAACAGGTCATATACCCCGATCCGTTCCTACTAGCCTACGCATGCGCAACACTCGCCACCTTGGAAAACACCGACGTCCTCATGCCCCCGCACCCGGCCACGATCGCGTCTGCGCCCACGCCCGCAGCTGCGGCCGACCTCACGCCCGTTCTCGCGTCCACGTCTGCAACCACGCCCGCCCTCCCGCCCATGCCCGCCCTCACACCCACGCCCGCCCTCACGCCCACGCCCGCAGCCGCGGCCGATCTCACGCCTGTTCTCGCGGGCACGTCTGCAACCACGCCCGCCCTCGCGCCCGCCCTCGCGCCCGCCCTCGCGCCCGCCCTCGCGCCCGCCCTCGCGCCCGCCGCTCTCGTGCCCGCTCTTACACCCGCCCTCGCGCCTACGCCCGTCGCCGTCCCCACGCGCGCGGCCGCCCTCACACGCACGGCCGCCCTCATGCGCGCGGCCGTGCCTGCCCTTGTGCCCACGCCCACCCTCACGTCCATGCGGCCCAACAGCGCGCTCGACCTCACGCCCGTCCTCACGTCCGCCCTCACGCCCACGCCCAACAGCGCACCCGACCTCACGCACGCCCTCGCGCCTACGTCCGCAGCCACCCCTGCAGCCACGGCCGTGCCCGCACCCGGCATCTCGCCGGCGTCTCTCCTCGCACCCAGCTGCACGGTCCGCACGCGTTTCAACGACGCGATGGAAGCTGCATATCGCGCAGGCGAGCCAGTCTCTCCGATCGCGGTGATGAGAGAGGTCGATGTGGGCGAGGAGTCCGACGGGTCCCTGCCGTCACTGCAGACACCATCGGACTCCGACGACGAGTCTGATGATGATGCTTGGTGAGCGGACTGCTACCTATTTTTGTTTCTTAAGTTGTAGATACAATGTACATGAGTGGTACAAATCCAATCAAATACTGTTTATGTGTCTCTAGTGTGTCATATTGAGTGGGTGATCCGCGGGTTGAACCGCAGTTCACCGTTTTCGGGCCCCCTCTGATCCGGAGCCGGTGTGAGCCGGACCCGGAAAGAGCTGGACTCGTGCGGGTCATGATCCCCGGCTCACGGCTCCGGATATTCGGCTCACGATCCGCGAAGTGAGCCGGACCCGCGAACAGCCTTACGGCATTCCGGTAACGAGGCACACGGAGGACAATGTGTCCATTTACACCTACCGATACAAAGGTTTACGATGTACATTCCTATCCCGTAATCTGACTTACTTCTTCTCCAGCTTCCAAGGTCTGGTCCGGGACAAGGCCATACGAGGTGTGGTTTCTATCAGGCCTAGTCAGCGAACACAAATATTAAGCCGATTACATCATACCGTCGGTGCACGTCGCCTCTTGTGCCATTATGAGCTCTTCGCACTCAAACATGTTGTTCTGTTCGACGAATCCGCGGATCCGAACCATTTGACCAAACTTCGGCCGTGGAAAGACCAATGACTAGACGAATATTATCAGTGCACATACAGCTTTGGGGTGTCAGCATTATATACCACATCATATGGGTCTAAGTCGACCTCTACCGATCCACAGCCGTTCACTGGGCACTCCAAGTATATTCTTGGGGCAATGTCGGATATCTGTGTTTCAAGTGGTCAGCGGTGATCATCTTGGTGAGGAAAGCAACAGTGACCTCTACTACGCGGGACACAATTTCCACGTAGTATACACTGGTTTTGATCTTCAGGAAACACATGGTAGTGGGGGGATTGGTGATATAGCAGTGGGACCCCTTGTTCGTTGATAAGGGCCATATTGGCGCTCGGTATTGAAGGTTCGGTATTAGCTCCGCCTTCTGAATGCCGACAATCGGCTCCGTCGTCACTCTTCGGTGTTGATTTACTTATGTAATTGCATTCCCATACGAGCTTGTACGAGCTCCGGCAGTGTTTGCATCGCCGCAGGGTAACCACCGCACGTATGGCCGTAAAACAAGTCGGTATGTGCTCAGAACGTCTGTGGCTACGTACTACATGCATTACCGCAATTCCGGTGCGTGCCGGCTGAGGTAGCTTGTACGACCGTCTCGGACGGGGTACATGCTCGTACGAGCTCCGGCAGTGTGCGCATCGCCGCGGGGTAACCACGGCGCGCACGGCCGCAATACAAGTCGGTATGTGCTCAGGACGGCCATGGCTACGTACTAAATGCATTACAACAATTCTGGTGTGTGTCTGAGGGAGCTCGTACGACCGTCCCGGACGGGATACAGGCTCGTACGACTACCGAGGTTGTTTCTACCGTTGCGGGACAAACACCGCACATATGGTGACACAAGCAGCTGTTAAGTGCCGCGGAGGTCTGCGGCAATGTATTCCATGCGTTGATGGAGATGAATTGCGTGCCGGCCTGAGGGCCCCGAGTATGGGCCAGGATCTTGAGTCTGAGGAAGGATGGCCTCGGTAATGCCGGTGTAGGGTAGCACAGTGCTATTCGCATTGTTTGTGGTACGAATTACTACTTCTTTACATGTAGGGAAGCCATGCAAAGGCCCTATGCAGGAACCAAAGGTATCCTCCAAAATACCTCGTACGACCGTTACGGACGGTTACACTACCGAAGCCCGTACGAGCTCGTATGGCCGTTACCGACGGCAACGCGGGCACCTCGTATGGGCGTTACCGACGGGCTAAAGCACTGCCACCGAGTGGGTAGGTGGTCCATGCGCTGAGACAGCACCATGTGCTTCTGAGATGTAGAGAACTAACGAGTAAGAAAGAGAAGTAAGTTGGATACAAAGACGAGATAGGGTCAAAGGCCGTGCCGCAACGGGGAGATCAGAGATCAGGGAATGCGTAGCGCTGGCCGAGCCGGTCACGCTACACGGTGTCGAGCGCGACCGGGCCGGCCGCACCTCGGGCAATGGCCCTAAAGCCCCGCTGCAAAACATAAGTAAAATTCAAGTGCAATCTTTCAAATTATGCGGAGGTAAAGGCAAGTGGCATCCAGGTGAAAGGGAGCCATCACTGTCCGCGAGCAGCAGTACTTCGACGTCATTAATTTGCTCAATTACGATGTCATCCTGGGCACGCCGTTTATGTTCCAACACAGCATGTCCCTTGGGCTCAATCCCACCACAGTGATAGTAGGTTCGGACGACGCTCAGCCTATTGAGGGCAAGAACGTCCGGGTCCTGGCCTTGCGCGCCATGGATATCCTTGAAGAGGACCTCGAGGCCACCCGCACGGAGCTGCGCGAGTACGCGGCTGATATTTGCGCGGAAGCGAGCGATACGCCGCTCCCACCGTTGCACGAAATCAACCACACCATCCCACTGAAGGACCCCTCCAAGGTCCACCCCTGGCGGCCGGCACGGTGCCCAGATGCTCATCGCGCGAGCTGGATTGAGAAGCGAGATGCTTACCTCAAGTTGGGACGTTGGCGCATGACCAACGCGCGCAACACGTCCCCGATGATTCTACTCACGAAGCCGGGCACAGGCGTGAAAGGCGTGCTGCCACGTCTGCGCGTGGTCTGCGATCTGCGCGAGTGCAACGCGAACACGCACAAACAGTCCTCTCCCTTACCGGACATGGAAGGGATCCTCCGCGACGTCTCGCGCGCACCCTACCGGTCGCTCATCGACGGCAAGGACACGTACGAGCAGATCCCATTGAGCCTGATCACGTCAAACGCACGGCTATGACCACCCCGGATGGGAACATGGTCAGCCTAGTGCTTCAGCAGGGCGACTGCAACGCTGTAGCCACTTACCAGGCTCTCATGAATCACATCTTTGGCCAATACATAGGCCGCTTCATGGCTGTCTATCTAGATGACGTCGTCATTTGGTTGTTTACACTCACGGACCATATCACACACTGAGCCGCCTCAGTACAGGTTATGCATAAATCCCTGTTAGAGCGCCCCGGGTTTATGCATACCGTACCTTATGCATACACAAATATATGCATAAACATTGAAGTATGCATACAGCTGTAAGAGCGTCAATGTCCGTAAACAAAAGGACAGCCGCGCACCTGTGGTCACCACGGCTGTATTACAATGCCCCAGGTACATGGGAATAAGCTTTTGCTATTCCTGAGGGCGTTGTTATTGTAATAAACGTGGTGAGGTCTTTAACAATAACAACGCAAGGGGGTCTTGTAATAACTGGTGCTGAGGCTGTTAAAAGCAACGTGGGGTTGTTAAAACTGGCGTGGGGTTGTTAAAACTGGCGTAGGGTTGTTAAAACTGACGTGGGGCTGTAAAAAAGGGTGCAGGGTTGTTAAAACCGACGTAGGGCTGTCAAAAAGGGTGCTGGGTTGTTAAAACCGACGTGGGGCTGTTAAAACCGATGTGGGGTTGTTAAAATCGACGTGGGGCTGTTAAAACCGACGTAGGGCTGTCAAAAAGGGTGCTGGGTTGTTAAAACCGACGTGGGGCTGTTAAAACCAACGTGGGGCTGTTAAAATCGACGTGGGGCTGTCAAAAAAGATGCTGGGTTGTTAAAATCGACGTGGGGCTGTAAAAAAGGGTGCAGGGCTGTTAAAACTGACGTAGGGTTGTTAAAACTGACGTGGGGTTGTTAAAATCGACGTGGGGCTGTAAAAAAAGGATGCAGGGCTGTTAAAACCAACGTGGGGGTATTACAAAACGTGCCAGCTTGTTAAAAGTGACGTGGAGATATTACAGAATGTGCCAGCCTGTAATAACTGACGTAGAAGTATTACAGAACATGCTAGGCTGTAATAACTAACACCAGGGTCCCACTGGGACCTACCTAGCTATAAATAGCCTGGTTCAGGTACTGCTACATATGGGCATTCTGGCAGGTATAGTGGGCTGGAATTGGGGATAAATGGTTAGCTAGAGATGAGTATGGCTAAAAGGATACGTTTGGGCTGGTATAAGCAGCTGGAATGGGGAGCAGTAGCTAGTATTTACCAGTAAATGGGCAGCCTGGGGTGCAGCACAGGGTGGGGAAATCGTCAGGCACTAGTTATTTATCAAAAGAGGCATCTAATAGCTTTCTAACAAATCCAAGATCATGTTGATTGGAGCAGTATTGGTGGAGATACAGATGTACCCCCGTTTTGGCCGATAGGAGCATCTGCTAGAATCAGAACTGGTGGATGGAATCCCCTGGTTCTTGTTGTATACCGTGTGGATTGCCTTCCAATGAGTGGGGTCGAAATCCGATCGGAGAAAACCCCCTTCATTACGGAATAGATTGCTGATTACGCTTCAGCCACAGCGCTTTTGATCTCTCAATAGCCACTTCCCATATGCTCCGATAAGTGTTCTTTTTTTTGCAGTCTTTTCCTCTACTCTACGGAAAAGTGTTCTAGGTGTCATTTTAACAAGAACAGCCCTCTGTACCTTCCTGTGCAGCTGTGCACACTTGCAGACCTTTGCCTCACCCATCCATAACCGCTCCATTTATCAATCTGGTTCTTGTTGTATTGTTTGACCATTGTGGTATACTTTATGTTCCTAGTATAAAAACATTATCGGTCTTTGTTTAGGCTATATCCATCCTTATCTCTCCTCCATGCATTGCCCCCATCAGCACATGAATCCATCTCCGATCAATGTACACTACGTAGATCTGATAAGAGCTTGAACACACCTATCCAACGCAGGTACAATCACGAAGATCGGTGAAGAACTCAGGAAGTAACAGTGTCTACAGCTGAAACAGGGCTCATTTTGCTCTACAGCCATGCCCCTCACTCTACACAAATGTGAAATAGGGCACACACACACATATACCCATGGCAATAACACATGGAACATGTTTCAGGATGATATTGAATATGACTTAGCACCTCTGCCACATGTGGGGGCAAGTGTACCATTCCTTGCAGGGTTGAGTGGGTGTTATGTGAAGAGGTTTCATCCCACACTTTGTAGCCCAGTGGTGCATTCTGGGCTCCAATGGAACATCTTCACCAATTCTGGGCCGATTCACATGGTTCTTTCTGCATCTTGTAGCTGTGTTCGAGGCGAGTTCTGATCGACTTCACAAGAGACTATCAGAGTATCACATATAATTGGATCAGGGGAGCAAGTGGGGGGACAGATAGGGGCATTACACTATCAAACATGTTCTGATAAGTATGATCCTTACATATCTTAGGGCCCTTGAGCAGTGCCAATTCGACACAGAAGACACCATGGTGATATAATGGGTAGTTATGGAGGGGTGAGGCAAAGGTCTGCAAGTGTGCACAGCTGCACAGGAAGGTACAGAGGGCTGTTCTTGTTAAAATGACACCTAGAACACTTTTCCGTAGAGTAGAGGAAAAGACTGCAAAAAAAAGAACACTTATCGGAGCATATGGGAAGTGGCTATTGAGAGATCAAAAGCGCTGTGGCTGAAGCGTAATCAGCAATCTATTCCGTAATGAAGGGGGTTTTCTCCGATCGGATTTCGACCCCACTCATTGGAAGGCAATCCACACGGTATACAACAAGAACCAGGGGATTCCATCCACCAGTTCTGATTCTAGCAGATGCTCCTATCGGCCAAAACGGGGGTACATCTGTATCTCCACCAATACTGCTCCAATCAACATGATCTTGGATTTGTTAGAAAGCTATTAGATGCCTCTTTTGATAAATAACTAGTGCCTGACGATTTCCCCACCCTGTGCTGCACCCCAGGCTGCCCATTTACTGGTAAATACTAGCTACTGCTCCCCATTCCAGCTGCTTATACCAGCCCAAACGTATCCTTTTAGCCATACTCATCTCTAGCTAACCATTTATCCCCAATTCCAGCCCACTATACCTGCCAGAATGCCCATCTGTAGCAGTACCTGAACCAGGCTATTTATAGCTAGGTAGGTCCCAGTGGGACCCTGGTGTTAGTTATTACAGCCTAGCATGTTCTGTAATACTTCTACGTCAGTTATTACAGGCTGGCACATTCTGTAATATCTCCACGTCACTTTTAACAAGCTGGCACGTTTTGTAATACCCCCACGTTGGTTTTAACAGCCCTGCATCCTTTTTTTACAGCCCCACGTCGATTTTAACAACCCTACGTCAGTTTTAACAGCCCTGCACCCTTTTTTACAGCCCCACGTCGATTTTAACAACCCAGCATCTTTTTTGACAGCCCCACGTCGATTTTAACAGCCCCACGTTGGTTTTAACAGCCCCATGTCGGTTTTAACAGCCCCACGTCGGTTTTAACAACCCAGCACCCTTTTTGACAGCCCTACGTCAGTTTTAACAGCCCCACGTCGATTTTAACAACCCTGCACCCTTTTTAACAACCCCACGTCGATTTTAACAGCCCTGCATCCTTTTTTTACAGCCCCACGTCGATTTTAACAGCCCCACGTTGGTTTTAACAGCCCCATGTCGGTTTTAACAGCCCCACGTCGGTTTTAACAACCCAGCACCCTTTTTGACAGCCCTACGTCAGTTTTAACAGCCCCACGTCGATTTTAACAACCCTGCACCCTTTTTAACAACCCCACGTCGATTTTAACAGCCCTGCATCCTTTTTTTACAGCCCCACGTCGATTTTAACAGCCCCACGTTGGTTTTAACAGCCCCATGTCGGTTTTAACAGCCCCACGTCGGTTTTAACAACCCAGCACCCTTTTTGACAGCCCTACGTCAGTTTTAACAGCCCCACGTCGATTTTAACAACCCTGCACCCTTTTTAACAACCCCACGTCGATTTTAACAGCCCTGCATCCTTTTTTTACAGCCCCACGTCGATTTTAACAGCCCCACGTTGGTTTTAACAGCCCCATGTCGGTTTTAACAGCCCCACGTCGGTTTTAACAACCCAGCACCCTTTTTGACAGCCCTGCACCCTTTTTTACAGCCCCACGTCGATTTTAACAACCCTGCACCCTTTTTTACAGCCCCACGCCAGTTTTAACAACCCCACGTTGCTTTTAACAGCCTTAGCACCAGTTATTACAAGACCCCCTTGCGTTGTTATTGTTAAAGACCTCACCACGTTTATTACAATAACAACGCCCTCAGGAATAGCAAAAGCTTATTCCCATGTACCTGGGGCATTGTAATACAGCCGTGGTGACCACAGGTGAGCCGCGTGAATCGAACCTGCAGCCTCTTGACAATGTACATACACGACACAACAGACCACTACACCAATGTTCCATGTTGTTTGTGTGTTACTTACAGTATATATACTCTCTTCAATACTGACATAAACACAAGGCTTTTGTTGAACTCGTCGTTCATCAGAGTCCGGTCATACTTCTCAACACTGCTTGCATACTCGCCCTCTCCTCAGGATGCCTACCTATGTCCAAGATTGTGTTTATCCATACAATGTGTCCAAATAGACGATGCTAAGCTGGGTTTATACATACACCCATTTTACGCATACACCCCGTTTATGCATACACCCCGTTTATGCATACACCCCGTTTATGCATACAGCCTGATTATGCATGCGGCCCGATTATGCATGCGGCCCGATTATGCATGCGGCGTGATTATGCATACGGCACATTTATGCATACGCCCCGTTTATGCATAAACGGTGTGTATGCATAAACACTTCATATAGGTAAACACAGCGTATATCGGTGGGGCAAGACGACAGTGATGTACCATCAACTCCAGGTCCGAGTCCATGGGGGTGAAGGCGAGATAGCGGGCTGGTGTAAGCGTAGAAATGAGGAATCCGGGGTGAAGCAAGATTTGCGGGGAAAGCGAACGCAAAGAGAGTTGGATCACGGGAACGTGAGGTGTGCGAGGAGGTCAGAATAGACGAGACCAAGGAGGATGACGAGCGTGAGTGCGAGATTGAGGGCGAAGGCGACACTGAGGGCGAAGGGAAACGCGCAGTGTGTCTAGACCGACGCGTCGCGTAGGGCTGCCGTATTGATCCTAGGGTGAACACGGGCGGATCCCGATGGGTGCGTGTGAGGTGGGACAGACAACGTGCGCAGAAAACATGCTTGAGGACGACATGGATGGGAGCTGGGTGGAGGTGCATGGCCACTAGCGTGGTCGGGTGGTCGAGGGATGATGAGTGGACGTGAGTTGTAGAGAATGGAGCAACGCGACGCTGCGAGGACGCAGGGGATGAGAGAGAGCTCTGGTGTCGGTGCCTGGTGGACACGTCGACAGTCATGGGTGTGAGGATGAGGCCAGACGGGGTGAGTACATACCTCACACTTGCTGGGCAGGCTGGGATGGCAGAGTGAGGCGGAAGGGCCAGGGACCGCGCAGAGGTATTCCTCGGGCACAGCCACCCCTGCAGTGCCTGGATTACGTGCGGGTCGATCAAATCCCGCTTTTCTCGGAGACACGTCTCATGGCCCTCCTGCGCGTACTTGCAAGAACACGAATAGTATGAAGCATTCAACGAAACAAACCATTACTACGCCCTCTACAGCCCACTACAAAGGGTGCACCCAGTTGCGAGTGCAGATTCGGTTCCACTTCTGGAGGTTGAACCCGCCTTGGATGTTGTCCAGGCCAAGCGCCTCGATGAGTTTGCGACCCAACCTATGCGGTACGGTAAGTAACAGGTGCATAGATACGAGAGGAGAAGCACTCATGCGGCCACTACGTCCAATCAGAACTTCTTCCCATTACCCAGCTGTTTCTTGCCCAACTTTCCTTTCCCCCCTGCCACCCTGCCATGTTTCTGCAATGCTCCGTCAGCTCGCCAGGCTCACGTGCATAATAGAATGCGACTTACCAGGTGCCAGCCCCAACTCACAGTCATCCGATGTAAGAACCTACAGCAGTCATGGGGGAACGTAAGGCTCCCGCCATTGTTCTTCTTCATCTTGATGTGACCTCCAAGGCCATTCTGGATGGCCTGAAGCGCACAAGTTAGCGCATTGTTGTGGCAATGAAGCCGGAATACGCACCTCACATACTAGTGCGACCTCCATATCCATGTACGGACCACGCATCATCTCACGTTCCCACGATCCAACTCTCTTTGCTTTCGCTTTCCCCACAAATCTTGCTTCACCCCGGATTCCTCATTTCTACGCTTACACCAGCCCGCTATCTCGCCTTCACCCCCATGGACTCGGACCTGGAGTTGATGGTACATCACTGTCGTCTTGCCCCACCGATATACGCTGTGTTTACCTATATGAAGTGTTTATGCATACACACCGTTTATGCATAAACGGGGCGTATGCATAAATGTGCCGTATGCATAATCACGCCGCATGCATAATCACACCGCATGCATAATCAGGCTGTATGCATAAACCAGCCGTATGCATAAATCGGCCGTATGCATAAACAGGGCATATGCATAAACTTACTTGTGGCTGCCCGGAAGCCTCAATAGGTGTTCACTTCCCCGGAGCGTACCCTGGTTCCTAGAGCACGGTGGCTTGCGCAGGTCATCAGCACGCGGTTGACACTGAAGACAACCGGCACGTCCACATCGTCCGCAACGAGCGAAACGACCTCCTCTGGCGAGAGTGCGACGACCAACCGTGTCCCCATATCCGTACCCCTGTCACCTACACGACCCGCAGGGCTAGATTCGACGAGACGCACACTTCTATCCCACCCCTAGTTATGGATGCCCAGCAGTTTCAGGCCCTCATGCAGGCCCTCACCACGCACCAGCAGCAGTTGGTTGCTGGACAGGCCAACCTTACCCAGGCGGTGACAGATCTGGCAACTGCGTTCCAGAACCTGTCCACCACCCTCCCCCAAGCTATGACTAATGCGACGGTGGCTTCGAACGTCAACACCCAAGCCACGAAGGATGCGACAAAGGTCGCGAACAAGCCCCAGCCGTACAACGGCAAAACCAGTTCGGATGCACGCCGCTTCGTAGCGTCCTTCCAAGTCTACGCGATGCAGATGGGCGGCCATCTGAACACTGCCAATGCCACGGGTGGCTTCGATCGCGATGACGCGAAGTGGATCAAGTCGGCTCTCACTCTTCTCACCAATGACGCTGCGATCTGGGCCACCCCCTACCTGGAAATGATCGGTAACGGGCTGGCGGTGTTCAACAACGACTGGACGACCTTCAGAGCGGCGTTCAAAATGCGATTCGAGACGGCCGATGAGGCAGTCGACGCGAAGGCAGCCCTGCAGGCCCTGCACCAGCGTAGCCTCTCTGTCGTCGAGTACTACACACGGTTCAATGAGCTCGTAAACAGGACCGGCTATAGCCAGACCAACCTCCATGACCGGTTCTACGAGCACCTCTCCTCGGAGATCAAAGACGAGTTGGTGCATACTGCTCGCAACACTTCTGCGCTCCCCGACCTCGTTCAGGTCGCTATGGACCTCGACATGCGCATTCGCACATGCAAGGCTGAGCGTGCGCGAACAGGGCAAGTCTGTTGCGACTCCGTCCGTTGTAGGGCCCTGCCCTATGTTTTCGCGTTTGGAGCTAGATTAGGGTTTGATTAGTCAGCCATGTACTTAGCACAGCGGCCGCCTCTGGGCCTTCCCTCAGATTTGACCACCACCTTCACCCTTCATAGCTCATTTCTCCGTGTGTTTGCCACCTTTTCTTGTGTTCTGCTCGCTCTGCTCGACGTCTAGAGTCACCTAGACCGTCTGTTCTGTCGCCTTCGGCTCCAGAGCCTGAGCCCAGCACCCTTGACCCACCTGCACTCCTGGGTTTGTCCTGTGGATTCTCCACTTTTGGGCACCTGCCTGGGCATGACCTCACACCGTCCCTCGTACTGCCACTGGGCAGTTCGCATCTGTGGCAACTCCCTCGACCATGTGCACCTCCCGCGACCCCGACGCAATGGACATTGATGCTGTCAAGCTGAGCGAGTTCAGGCGGTCGATGAACAGCAGGTGCTGGGGCTGTGGTGCGACCGACCACCAGAAGAAGGATGGCAACCACTCGAATGAGACTTGTCGCTGGTGCGGAGGCCGTGGCCATCGCGAGAGCGTTTGCCAGAGCAAGGCACTGGGCAAGCCGCGCCTGAGCGGTCAGCAGCGCGTTGCAGCTACCACCGAGGACAGCCCGGTCGTGTTGACCTCAATGGCGAACTCCAACGTGCAGGGGATCAACGCAATCCTCGAGCAGATGCAGCAGATGACGGAGCAGCAGAAGATCCTCCGTGGCGAGCTCGAACTGCTCCAGAAGTCTTTTCCGAACAGGCCCGCTTAAGAGCTGCGGCAGCGGCGCCCCCACCAAAGGTCTCTTCTTCTTCATTCCCTGAGTCTATCCCTAGCGCGTACGATACAGTAGATAGTTGTACAATACCTGAAGCAAATCGATCTGGTTCGCACTTTCGCACTAGCGTGATAGTAAAAGGAAACAATAAGAGTGTTAAGACCGCAGCAATGATTGACTCTGGTGCGACTTCGCTTTTTGTTAGTAAAAGGTTCATAGATAGGCATGGTATTTCGGTGCACCCGTTGTTCAAGGAGATCACAGTGCACAATATCGACGGTACAAAGAACAAAGCAGGCAGTATTACGCATTTCACAAGGCTTACGTTAGGTATGGGTACATATAGCGAGCGTCTCGATTTCTTAGTTACAGATCTGGGACCAGAGGACATGATTCTTGGCTTGCCTTGGTTACGTACGGTGAATCCGGAGATAGACTGGGAGAAGGGAGAGATGCGGATTGAGACGGACGAGGAGGAGGAGGAACGGCCTGCGTTCGAGCGTATCAACGCGAACCAGGCACAGCGATGGAAGTGGCAGAAGGCCGGAGTGTTGGAGGATGTGAGAGAGGAGGTGTGGTGTGCGGCGGGCTACACCTATTCGATGCAGCTGGCAGAGGCTGCCAACAAGGGGAAACCTCAGAAGACGTTTGAGGAGATGGTCCCGGAGGAGTATCGACGCCACGCTAAGGTGTTCTCCGAGGTCGAATCAGAGCGTCTCCCTGAGTCGAAACCTTACGACCATGCGATCGACCTCAAGCCTGATGCGCCTGAGTCGATCCGCTCCAAGGTTTTCCCCATGCCTCTGAACGAGCAGGAGGAGCTTGATCGGTTCCTGGAGGACAACATGCGCAAGGGATACATCACACCTTCTAAGTCCCCCATGGCATCTCCAGTCTTCTTTGTCAAGAAGAAGGACGGGAAGCTCCGGTTAGTACAGGACTACCGGAAGCTGAACAACGTCACTGTCAAGAATCGCTATCCGCTTCCTCTCGCCTCAGACATTGTGAACTGGCTGCGAGAAGCGAAGTACTTCACCAAGTTCGACGTACGCTGGGGGTACCACAACATCCGGATCAAGGAGGGTGACGAATGGAAGGCTGCCTTCGTCACTAACCGAGGGTTGTTCGAACCCAAGGTTATGTTCTTCGGGCTCACCAATTCGCCGGCCACCTTCCAAGCGCTGATGAATTCGATCTTCGCAGAGCTCATCGCGCAGGGCAAGGTAGCGGTGTACCTGGACGACATCCTCATCTTCACAGACACCCTAGAGGAGCACCGTTGACTGGTTCACGAAGTACTTCAGCGGTTGGAGGAGCACGACCTCTACCTGCGCCCTGAGAAGTGCGAGTTTGAGCGGGAGGAGGTGGAGTACCTGGGGCTGGTGATCCGTCAGGGCTCGGTCAGCATGGACCCGGTGAAGGTCAAAGCCGTGCGCGACTGGCCAGATCCTCGTAACCTGCGAGATCTGCGCGGTTTCCTTGGATTTGCCAACTTCTATCGTCGCTTCATCAAGGACTTTGCTAGGCTGGCTCGTCCCTTGAACGACTTGACGAAGAAGGACGTCGTGTGGACATGGGAGTTCGCGCAGCGTCAGGCATTCCGCGCGCTCAAGGACGCCTTCATCAGCGAACCGGTTCTCGCTACATGGGCACCAGATCGACCCACCAGACTCGAGGTGGACGCTTCTGGATTCGCAACAGGTGGTGTTCTGCTCCAGAAGCTCCCTGACGGCCTATGGCACCCGATAGCGTTCCGCTCAGAGTCCATGTTGGATGCAGAGCGCAACTATGAGATCTACGACTGAGAGCTCTTGGGGATCATCCAAGCACTGGAGGACTGGCGCCACTATCTTGAGGGCCTTCCTGATCCATTCGAGATCATCACGGATCATTGGAACCTCGAGTACTGGCGTACTGCTCAGCACCTCTCACGGCGGCAAGCGCGATGGTCAATCTGGTTGGCACGCTTCGACTTCATCCTCACTCACAAGCCTGGGAAGACAAACACACAGGCAGATCCTCTCTTGCGTCTCCCCTAAGGCTGCATGTGGATCGATCCACGGATGATCCGGAGTCTTATCCATGGATCAAGGCTGCTCTGGGGGCTTGATCTGGATCCGCACAGATCAGATCCTCTGGAAGACCCGGAGCCGTGGGAGCCGGACCTGCAGCTCACGGATCCACCCGTGGATAGAGTCGTGAACTGTGCGGATCCACAGGATCACTGCAGATCCGCATATGTAGGGTAATAACAATTCACTCATTTCATTAACACATGTATTATGCTGTGCACATTCGGTAGCTACAGATATACAAGGACAACATAAGATGAGGCGGGCGATGTGGAGGTGAGACGGGGGTGACGCGGGCGAGCTTCTGTGGGCGCGAGGCGCGAGACGTGGGGGAAACGGGGCAGGCGGGCAGGCGGGGGACGCGGGGGACGCGGGTGAGGGTAAGGTGCGCAGCGCGGCGAGGGCGACATGGGCGCAGGGTGATGACAAACAGGTGACACGGGCGCGGGCTCACAGGACGAGAACGAGGGCGTGGCAGATGACGCGGCAATGCGGGCGAGGTGGGCGACGCAGTGGGCGACACAGGAGCTAGGGGGCAGCAAGATATGTGATGCCGGCGGCGCGGACGAGGTTGGTGACATGGGTGACGTGGATGCGGGAGAAGACGAGGGCAAACGCGGGCGAAACGTGGGCAAGGACGAGGTGGGCGAGGTGGGCGAGGATGAGAACAGCGCGGGCGATGCGGGCAAGGACGAGGAGGATGAGGGCG